CTGAAGCCCTCGGTACCAAGTGTGTCTTCCTACTGAAGCTTTCCGTACCAAGTGTGTCTTCCTGCTAAAGCTCTCGGTACCAAGTGTGTCTTCCTGCTGAAGCTTTCGGTACCAAGTGTGTCTTCCTGCTGAAGCTCTCGGTACCAAGTGTGTCTTCCTGCTAAAGCTCTCGGTACCAAGTGTGTCTTCCTGCTGAAGCTTTCCGTACCAAGTGTATCTTTCTGCTGAAGCTCTCGGCACCAAGTGTGTCTTCCTGCTGAAGCTCTCGGTACCAAGTGTGTCTTCCTGCTAAAGCTCTCGGTACCAAGTGTGCCTTCCTGCTGAAGCTTTCGGTACCAAGCGTGAGTTCCTGCTGAAGCCCTCAGTACCAAAGGTATCTTTCTGCTGAAGCTCTCGGTACCAAGTGTGTATTCTTGCTGAAGCCTCGGCATCAAGCGTGTCTTCCTGCTGAAGCCTCGGTACCAAGTGTGTATTCCTGATGGAGCTCTCGGTACCAAGTGTCTTCCTGCTTAAGCTCTCGGTACCAAGTGTGTCTTCCTGCTGAAGCCCTCGGTACCAAGTGTGTCTTTTTGCTGAAGTTATCGGTACCAAGTGTGTCTTCCTGCTGAAGCCCTCGGTACCAAGTGTGTCTTCCTGCTAAAGCTTTCGGTACCAAGTGTGTCTTCCTGCTAAAGCTATCGGTACCAAGTGTGTCTTCCTGCTGAAGCTCTCGTCACCAAGTGTGTCTTCCTGCTGAAGCTCTAGGTACCAAGTGTGTCTTCCTGCTAAAGCTCTTGGTACCAAGTGTGTCTTCCTGCTGAAGCTTCCCGTACCAAGTGTATCTTTCTGCTGAAGCTCTCGGCACCAAGTGTGTCTTCCTGCTGAAGCTCTCGGTACCAAGTGTGTCTTCCTGCTAAAGTTCTCGGTACCAAGTGTGCCTTCCTGCTGAAGCTTTCGGTACCAAGCGTGTGTTCCTGCTGAAGCCCTCAGTACCAAGTGTATGTTTCTGCTGAAGCTCTCGGTACCAAGTGTGTATTCCCGCTGAAGCCTCGGCATCAAGCGTGTCTTCCTGCTGAAGCCTCGGTTCCAAGTGTGTATTCCTGATGGAGCTCTCGGTACCAAGTGTCTTCCTGCTTAAGCTCTCGGTACCAAGTGTGTTTTCCTGCTGAAGCCCTCGGTACCAAGTGTGTCTTTTTGCTGAAGTTATCGGTACCAAGTGTGTCTTCCTGCTGAAGCTTTCCGTACCAAGTGTGTCTTCCTGCTGAAGCCCTCAGTACCAAGTGTATCTTTCTGCTGAAGCTCCCGGTACCGAGCGTGTCTTCCTGCTGAAGCCTCGGTACAAGTGTGTCTTCCTGCTGAAGCTTTCTGTACCAAGTGTGTCTTCCTGCTGAAGCCCTCAGTACCAAGTGTATCTTTCTGCTGAAGCTATCGGTACCAAGTGTGTATTCCTGCTGAAGCCCTCTGTTACAGGTGTGTCTTCCTGCTGAACCCCTCGATACCAGGTGTGTCTTCCTGCTGAAGCCCTCGGTACCAAGTGTATCTTCCTGCTGAAGCTCTCGGTACCAAGTGTGTCTTGCTATTGAAGCTCTCGGTACCAAGTGTGTCTTCCTGCTGAAGCCCTCAGTACCAAGTGTGTTTTCCTACTGAAGTCCTAAGTACCAAGTGTGTCTTTTTGCTGAAGCCTCTGTACCAAGTGTGTCTTCCTGCTGAAGCCTCGGTACCAAATGTGTCTTCTTGCTGGAGCCCTCGGTACCAAGTGTCATCTTGCTGATACTCTCGGTACCAAGTGTGTCTTTCTGCTTAAGCCCTAGGTACCAAGTGTGTCTTCCTGCTGAAGCTCTCGGTACAAAGTGTGTCTTCCTGCTGATGCCCTAGGTACAAGTGTGTCTTCCTGCTGATGCCCTAGGTACAAGTGTGTCTTGCTGCTGAAGCCCTCGGTACCAAGTGTGTCTTCCTGCTGAAGCTATCGGTACCAAGTGTGTCTTCCTGCTGAAGCCCTCGGTACCAAGTGTGTCTTCCTGCTGAAGCCCTCGGTACCAAGTTTGTCTTGCTGCTGAAGCGATCGGTAGCAAGTGTGTGTGTTCCTGCTGAAGCTCTCGGTACCAAGTGTGTCTTCCTGCTGAAGTTCTCCGTACCAAGTGTGTCTTCCTGCTGAAGTTCTCCGTACCAAGTGTGTCTTCCTGCTGAAGTTCTCCGTACCAAGTGTGTCTTCCTGCTGAAGTTCTCCGTACCAAGTGTGTCTTCCTGCTGAAGTTCTCCGTACCAAGTGTGTCTTCCTGCTGAAGCCTCTGTATCAAGTGTGCTTGTAGATGATACATTCGACACATGTACTACTCTTGGGTATCTTTATTGAGGGAACTTTTCGCCACAGTGGCTTCATCAGTCCATACAAGGGAGTATCTTCAAGAACAGGAGGAGAATTAGGTAATCAGTCCTTCAACCTTGAGCCGAAGTGCTCAGTCCATTGATGGACTGACCATATCGACTCAAGGTAATGAAGAATGGGAAGCTCCAGCACAGATCATGGTTTTAGTTCCTGTTCAACTCATGGTCGCTGGAGTTGGTGGACAACCTTCAACTTTGTAACATATCGGTTATTTCCCACCAAGGTTGGCTGACTCAGTGAATATAATACGAGCATCTGTCATTGGTTCAGTAGCTGCTTCTGCTGATTGTCAGGCTGGTTAAATAAATCTAAATAAAATCATCAGACTTACAGCACTACTCTGATACTTCACTATTAAACATGTGACTTGTAACTATGGAAGATTTCAGTTGCGTGATTTAACATTTTAAACAATTGTTAACCAAGTATTTTGAAAAATAATGAAATTATACTTCATATTAGCAAGTAAAGATAAAAAATAATAGCCCACGTTTATATAACAAACAAAACACTTTAACTTGTTTCTTTTAAGTTCCTTGATGTGCAACTTGCTGGGTCAAGGCCCCTAATAACTCACTGCATGTGTCACTTGCTGTCTCAGGGGCCACTTGCTGGGCCAGGGGCCCTAATAACTCACTGCATGTGTCACTTGCTGTCTCAGGGGCCACTTGCTGGGCCAGGGGCCCTAATAAGTCACCTACTGCATGTGTCACTTGCTGTCTCAGGGGCCACTTGCTGGGCCAGGGGCCCTAATGAGCCATCTGGTGCATTTCTTACAATATGGGATTATTAATCTTGATAAAATCCCAAATAATTAATTTCTACCCTAATTCTTATCTACAATATTTGAAACTACTGCGCCAAGACAATGTGTAACGTGGCCTACAACCGCCTTTCACATGTAGGGAATATCCTCTACATATGTGGCCTCTGACATAAACAATACGGCACTTGACCAAGTCAGAGTCTTGCAACACTGACGAAGTCACAGAATCCATATATTCTTTTGAAAAATGTAAGATGAAATATGCTGTGAAAATGTCGCCACTCCAAGAAGGAGAGAGAGAGAGAGAGAGAGAGAGAGAGAGAGAGAGAGAAGAGAGAGAGAGAGAGAGAGAGAGAGAGAGAATGTTGTACATAGACAAGAATAATAAAATTAGCACCCACCAACACCATCATCGTATTGCATTTAAATACAAATGTTTATAAGTATTTATATATTAACTAACAATGGCTATATTATGCGAGTAAACTTTCTGTGAAACGTAATACATGTTCACTTTTTTTATAATTTTTTAATAGTGTAAGGATGAACCTGTCAAGTTATTAACTTCCTTAACTTGGCGCTGTTATATTTCTCAAATTTAAAAGCTGCAGTTTCATCTTTGAATCACTAAGCTTGTTTTTTCTGTGTAAAATGTGTGTAAAGTACTATGTATCTGTGTATATATTGTATTATACCATTAATTAGTATTATTATTTTTATTATTAGTAGTAATAGTAGTAGTAGTAGTAATAGTAGTAGTAGCAGCAGCAGTAGTAGTAGTAATAGTTGTAGCAGTAGTAGCAGTATTATTATTATTATTATTAGTAGTAGTAGTAGTAGTAATAATAATATTAGTATTAAAAGTACTAGCAGTATCAGTAGTAGTAACAGTAGTAGCAGTAGTAGTAACAGTAGTAGCAGTAGTAGTAATAGTATTGCCATAATTATTGTCATAATTATTATTAACATTTCCACAAAATAAAGCCTTGGGATTTATTTTTAATTTACTTAAGTACTACTTTATTTCAACTCTTAAACCAAAGATGTGAGCATTAATTTCTTACCTAACTCAATGAAGACGATTAATCTCTCATAAGTGTAAAATAATTTTGCCCTTTGTACACTGTTAGTACTGTACTTTGTAACACTGCTGAAATACACTACAATTCTTCCATTATTATTATTATTCCTTTCCCTACTTCTACAGGGTTGGGGGAGGGGGGTAAATGTTAAGAAATGTTAGGAGAGTAAAGTAGGATGTAGACAGAACCACAATACAACACATTTCAGTATCACACAAGCAAAATGTTATGTGAGGAATACAAGTTACAGTATCGTGGCTGCAACACTACATAGTCAACCTCTAACTGGAGATGAAACTTGACGTTTTGGTCATTCCTAAAGCATTATTATACCAAGAAACACTACAGTGGTCCTCAGTGGACTGAAACATCATTTCTAAACGTTACATGAAATTTAAGGGCCGTCCCTAAGTTTGATTTTCTTCACATCTTTCCCAGAAGTTCTTACTTCTTTTACAGGAATATGTTGTCCAAGATTTAACGCTTAACAGTACAAAAAAAAATATTATAGGATAAGATCTAATGAACTTTATAAATCTATACATCGTAGATTATATTTATATGATGTTTATTTTAACCATTATATGAAACCATTTGCAATAATATTTAGTATATACAGCTAGAACTGTATTTTGCTCATTTTTTACTAATAAAAAGTGCGATTATTTAATATAAAACAAAAGTACCCAAACAATAAATGACAGAATTACGCACTATAATTAAGAAACAACAATGTGCAACTACTAAAATATCTAGAGCAAACTTAGCCCCCAGAGCGTCAACTTACCTCGAGGCTCAACAGTAACTTCAAGTGCATTGCCGAGTATAGGAAGTGCCTTCGGTCCTGGGATCTGCTCTATCAGCCAAATCTGTTTAAATAAAATAATAAGAGAACAGAAACATAAAATTTATAATACAGGTACGTTAATTCAACGCTTGAAGAATTTTTGTGTAAAAATGATGAGAGAAGACCACAGATAGACATTTCGTGTTGAGGTTTTGTGCCGCATTAACTGTGATAAGTTACACAAGATGCCAAGACACGCATTAAATCGTCAATAAATAATAAATATAGGCACAATACCGTGGCTGGATCAATACATAAATAATCCGCACATAGAAGAGAGGAGCTTATGATGACGTTTCGGTCCGACTTGGACCATTTACAAAGTCACACTAACAAAAAGGAGAAGAGGGAGTATATATAGGCCAGCAGACAGGGACGGGACAAGAGAGGTAGTGGTGGAGGTAGTAGTAGTAGTAGTAGTAGTAGTAGTAGCAGTAGTAGTAGTAGTAGTAGTGGTGGTGGTGGTGGTGGTGGTGGTGGTGGTGTCAGTCAAATGCTACGAAAGAGGAGCACTGCAAGGGAGCTAGGGCCCACAGAGGGTAAAAACAAGCTAGGGGCCCACAGAGGGTAAAAAAAAACACAAAGGGAAAAATAATAAAGAACAAATGCCCAAGGCAGCAGGAAGAAAATCCAAAGGAGACAGAGGAAAAGAGAAGAGGGAGAAAGGGAGAAAAGAATCAGGTTATGTCAGTGGTGTTCTGAAGTTTGGAGCATTTTACAATGTAATGGGAAAGAAAGGCATCAACAGAGACAAAGCCAGGACTAAGATTCATACAAGGAAAGTTGTGCATAAGGGAGGATTCAACCAGACGGCGACTCTGAAAGTTAGAAGTAGGGTAGACAGTTTTAGTAGAAGACCAGTCAATAGGATGACTGTGATCTCTGACATGACAAAAAAGAGCATTGTTGGTGTCGGCAAGCCTAACACTATTTTTCTGCTCCCTGAGTCTGTCAGAAAGAGATCGGCCAGTTTCTCCAAAGTTCTGAAGAGGACAAGAGGAACAAGAAATAGAGTAGACACTAGGAGAATCTATAGTGGGAGGAGAGGTATGAACTAGATTAGTACAAAGAGTGTTAGTCTATGGGCTCTCCTCTATCTCCTCTTCTTGCTAATCTTTACATGAAATACTTCGAGACTGTTCTTCTTCCTTCTATTCTTGTGCGCCCTTCACTCAGGCTCTGCTTTGTAGATGACATCTTTGCTCTTTGGCCTCATGACTCTCGTCTCTTCCAACCATTTCTTGATGCCCTTAATAATCTTGCCCCTTCCATTAAGTATAAAGGTGAATGGGAATCTAATTCCCTGCTTCCTTTCCTTGATGTTCATGTCCACCACTCAGATACAGGTTTTGCCTTGTCCGTGTACCGCAGGCCTATGCACAGTGGCATGTACATTCACTACTTTTCTTATCATGTTCCTTCTGTCAAAAAAAAGCGTTCTTATCTCTCTCTTTCTCTGTGCTCTCCACATTTGTGATCCTCAGTTCCTTCAATCAGAAATTTCCTCTTTTCATAATTCATTTTCCCGTCTTAGCTACCCTTCCCATTTCATAGACTCTGCCCTCTCACATGCTAAATGGAGTTTCTTCTCTCCTAAACCTTTAACTCATGGGAACTGAGAACTTGCACTAGAATAGTGCGAAGAGTGTTAGTCTGGCGAAAAGTCAGTTTGATGTCTAAGGAACGGAGAGAGTTGTTGAGATTAGAAAGACCGGAAATGTAGGGACATTTCCGGTCTTTCTAATCTCAACAACTCTCTCCGTTCCTTAGTTAACAAACTAAACCATACCCCCGGCCGGGATTGAACCCGCGGTCATAGAGTCTCAAAACTCCACCCCGTCGCGCTAACCACTAGTTTTGAGACTCTATGACCGCGGGTTCAATCCCGGCCGGGGGTATGGTTTATTTGCAATCGTGTCATTACGATTTCTTAAGTCATGTTAACAAACTAACTTTTCGCCAGTCTAACACTTTTCGCACTAATCTAGTTCTTACCGCTCCTCCCTCTATAGATTCTCCTGGTGTCTGCTCTATTTCTTGTTCCTCATGTCCTCTCCAGTACTTTGGAGAAACCGGCCGATCTCTTTCTGACAGGGAGCACAAAAGTAGTGTTAGGCTTGCCGACACCAGCAATGCTCTTTTATGTCATGTCAGAGATCACAGTCATCCTATTGGCTGGTCTTCTACTAGTAATGTCTACCCTACTTCTAACATTCAGAGTCGCCGTCTGGTTGATTCTTTCCTTATACGCAACTTTCCTTGTATGAATCTTAGTCCTGACTTTGTCTCTGTTGATGACTTTCATTCCCATTACATTGTATAATGCTCCGTGACTTAACCTGATTCTTTTTTTCCACTTATCCCTCTTCCCCTTTCCTCTTTCCTCTTTCTCCTTTGGGTTTTCTTTCTGCTGCCTTGGGTATTTGTTCTTTATTATTTTCCCCCCTCTGTGGTCTTTTTTCTTACCCTCTGTGGGCCCCTACATTGTTTTTACCCCCTGTGGGCCCCTAGCTCCCTTGCAGTGTTCCTCTTCCTTAGTATTTGACTGACTCCACTACTATTACTACTACTACCTCCACCACTACCTCTCTTGCCCCATCCCTGTCTGCTGACCTATACATAATCCCTTCTTCTCCCCTTTCTGTTAGTGTGACTTTGTAAATGGTTCAAGTCGGACCGAAACGTCATCGTAAGCTCCTCTCTTCTTTGTGCGGGTTATCTGTGTAACAAATCGTCACTGTGAAATGACTGAATCTCACAATTTAGTACTGAGAAACTGTTTACCTATATAGCACTGAGATGTCCCCAGTCCACATAATTACTGCGTTTTATGTATTATAAAAAATTAATACAAAAGCATTTTGCGGCTATTCCTCCTTTATATAACGTTTGCTCTTATCAAACCTTAAAATATCACATTGTGCTGCTTTCCTGATCTATGTAACATTTTCCAAAATTAAAACAATGACTGTTTTTGTTACAGTAAATGCGCTGTATTTAAAAATCTGCAGATACCTTCCGCTGCCTCCTGATGAGCCATGGCAGTACGATGGCGACGACTAATGTGAGTGTCGTGTAGGTGATGAGGTCTGGCAGGAACGACAACACATCATTCCTGAGCCAAGCCATGCTCCCTGGGGGACACAAAATACAGTAATACTTACAACACATGTCTCATATAATATGTAAGTCATGCTGTTATGTACAATTCCTCAATACTCTTCTTACAAAAAATGACAATATAGCTCAACCTCATTCATGATGAGAGAAAAATATGTCAGTGCCAGTTAAGAAATACAAATATACAAAGCTTGGTATGGAGGTTCAGATGTACAAGTCCAAGAAAAAAATTCCTCTGCTTTCTCTACTGGGCAGAAGTGACTTCTGGCAACCCAGACATATTAAACAGAGGAGCAAAGACTATTTTCATGAATGAATTAACGAAGTTTGTAACGATGATGGTGATTGGTTGACAAAATTAATTGGCGGTACTTTCTATGTATCTACTTGTAGCATTTATCAATTATTTTACTATATAGATGTCGTGCCGAATAGGTAAAAGTTGCGATTTTGGATTAAATAGCAACGCTCTTCTTGTCGAATAAGGCAAGCGAAAATTTGTGTATGCAATAATTTCGCAAAAGTCATTCTGAATCTAACGAAAAAATATACTTCATTGTGTTTGTTAATTATTAAATTATTGTAAACTTACCTAAAATATATTTAGCTGCAAGAAGCTTAATTAAATTGCGCTTCTTATAATAAGGTTAGGTAAGTTTTCTTTTGGTTCTTTTGATACAAAATTATTAATTTTTACATTAACATAAATGAAAAAAAAAATTAAACCTATATGAGAAATTTTTTGAAGGAAATTAATTTTAAATGAGTTCTTGCTAATTGACCAGTTAATTAACAAGAAATAAGATGGCAAGTTTCTTGTACTGGATTCCACTAACGACTTGACTGGATAATAAAATTATAAATCATTCACCCTCTATTCTGTACTCATCCTAATAACAATTTTGTAATTAACTTGTCAGATGAAACATTAGCTAAAAGTTCAACCGCTGCTCTTAGTTTCGGTTTAAGTTTTGCAACTTGTTAAAATCTACTGATTTAGCCAGTGATGAAATTAATATACGTAAGAGGATGGGTTGTGGTTCCATGATGATACAAAATATTCCCAGTTGTCCTCTGATTTTGTTTAAATCTTATAAAAATCTTATTAATAATAACAATTTGCATATTACTCAAGCAGACAAAATAAATTCAGCTGTAATTTCAAAAGAAACTAAATGCCAAGGTAAAATAAATAATAATTATATAATTTCCTAGATGATACAGATATTTATGCCAAACTTAAAAACAATCCCTTTGACTCAGTTAACAATAAATTTAACAAACAATAAAACGACTACTAAAAGGCAAAGATGAAGTAATTAAAAAAATCATAACCATCATTCTATCTTTACCATATATGGATGGATTAGTAAAAACACATAAACCAGGTAATCCAGCCAGACACATAATTAGCGCCATAGGTTCAGTTTCATATAAATTATATAAATGGCTAGAAGATATGTTGAGCCCAATTGTTGGCAAAAATTTATAATTTTAACAGTTAAGTATAATATTGATTTAGCTGATAAATTAAGTACTATGACTGAATTAAATAATTACAGTATGGTTAAGTATGATGTCTCTTCTTTGTTTACAAAAGTCCCAGTGGATGATTTATTAAGTTTTTTTATCCGAAGAACTCGACAGTTACGATTTACCACTGCCAGTCGCTACAACCATCGAATAATTAAGCTTTGTATTGTTGATGCGAAGTTTCTGTTTAATGACGAGTTATACACTCCGAAGTTTGGTATGACAATGGTAAATCCTCTCTCACCTGTCCTTAACAATTTGCACATGGAATATTTTGAAATAGGACTTGTAGATGAATGGTTCAGAGAACCGACATGTTGATAAATTAGACACATGTGCAACTCTTGGGTATCTTTATTGAGGAAACGTTTCGCCACACAGTGGCTTCATCAGTCCATACAAAGGAGAATCTTGAAGAACAGGAAAAGAATGAGGTAATCAGTCCCTCAACCTTGAGTCGATGTGGTCAGTCCATCAATCTTGAATAGAATACGGCATACGTGCTGAGAAGGAGCTTATAAACCGTTGGCAGGAGAGGTTCAGAAGTCATAGGTCGTGTAACATTTGTTCAATGTTGAAGTAGGTCGTGCCCAAGAATTAGGCAAGCGAAGAATTCCCAAGTATTAAGATCCCAAGAAGTTGCAGTGTCTGGACTGTGTATGGACTGATGAAGCCACTGTGTGGCGAAACGTTTCCTCAATAAAGATACCCAAGAGTTGCACATGTGTCTAATTTATCAACATGTCGGTTCTCTGAACCATTCATCTACAAACCTGTCAGACACTGCAACTTCTTGGGATCTTAATACTTGGGAATTCTTCGCTTGCCTAATTCTTGGGCACGACCTACTTCAACATTGAACAAATGTTACACGACCTATGACTTCTGAACCTCTCCTGCCAACGGTTTATAAGCTCATTCTCAGCACGTATGCCGTATTCTATTCAAGATTGATGGACTGACCACATCGACTCAAGGTTGAGGGACTGATTACCTCATTCTTTTCCTGTTCTTCAAGATTCTCCTTTGTATGGACTGATGAAGCCACTGTGTGGCGAAACGTTTCCTCAATAAAGATACCCAAGAGTTGCACATGTGTCTAATTGAAATAGGACTGCTTAAGAATATCCTTCCCAGCTGAGATAAGTGATCCAGATATAAGAATATAGATATAAACCATTTCCTTGTTTTGAGTTTGAACAAAATAATTCATAGCCTATTTTAGATATTTTCATTATTATGGCAAACCATGATATTAAATTGAAACTATACATAAAACCAACAAATAACTGTTCTTATATGCACTGTTATTCTTCGCATATTCGTATTTTCATCCACGTTTTGAGAGCTTTGTACATTTTGCATCTCAGACTTCATAGATGAAGAAATATTGAAGATTTATGAAATATCCAGTGAGCTAAAATAACCAAAATACTTTAATCGTAAATCATTTAAAATAGTAGAAATGCATTTTATGATTCAAAACTTGTTGAACCTCCATATTCAACCAAATATATGTTGGTTCTCCCTTACCATGAAATCCTTCTTGATATACCTTCTGTAATTAAGAATTTGAAAATCAGAAAATCATAAAGTTTATTATCAACAAAGTGGAAAAAGCCTTCAACTACGATTGCAATAAGATACGTATAACGTTAAAACTGGACAAGAGTTTAATGCTCTGGTTATTCATGTGAGAGATTTTAGTCAACCAATTGATTTTCAAAAGGCCGAGAAAGTTGCATCAAGTAAGAATATGGTTGAGAGAAATGTAAATGAATTAAGCTTCATAAAAATACAGCGTTGATTTTAATATGAATAATAATTTAGGATTATACAAACTAGATTCACTTGTAAGAAAATTTGGGAAGAATTTAAGTTATGCATAACATGTCATTGAGACTTCCCACCTGCATCATACTGGAGTAACATCTCAGCCTTATAAACCTTCCACTGTTTAATTATACGTACATCACCTTGCTAATGTGAGAAATTATGAAAGCACTTGGCTGTTTTCAATATATATATGTCTGGAAAATCTCTCAACTACTGCCTCAGACAACTTGCTGCTGGGGGATTTCAACTTGAGACACCTAAATGGAGGAGTGTAAAAAATAATGTTTTAACAGAGATCACTCCAGGAGGCAGCTCAGATAAAAATTCACACGCACGTGAGCTATTAAATTTCTGAAACAAAATCACATTAAAAAAGCGAATAATAGAGCCTAAAAGACTAGAAAATACACTAGACCTCACCTTCACTAACAATGATCTGATACGTAATATAACCGTATCAAAGACCATACACTCAGATCACAATATAATATAGATACAGACAGTATGTACGGGGCTCCTGACCAGCAAAATGTGATCAGTTATGAGGGTGCCTTCACAAAATTCAACTTCAATAACAAAAATATACAATGGGAACAAGTCAATCATGTCCTAAATGAAACAAGCAGGGAAGATATCGTAAACAACACGGATTCGAACCTTTGCCTAAAAAAAAAAAACTGTGGCACTTTAGGTCTGCTCAAGACACTGTCAATTAAGAAAAGAAGAGAGAGATGCTCCCTATACAGGCAAAGGCGAGAACTTGCAGAGCTGCTGAGTGGCGCTATGATATCTGAAATACAAAGGGAGGCACTGATCAGAGAAATAACAAATATCGAACTTATGCTGAAGGAATTTTACAAGAGACATGAATCTCAGGAAGAACTTAAAGTCATCACTGAAATTGAAAGAACCCAAAATACTTCTTCTCTTATGCCAAATCTAAGGCGAAATCAACATCTAGTACTGGACCCCTGCTTAGACGAAATGGGACCTACACAGATGACAGTAAAGAAATGAGTGAGATACTAAAGATCCAATATGATTCAATGTTCAGTGAGCCGTTAACCAGACTCAGGGTCGACAATCTAAATGATTTTCTGTGACCGAGACACAAAATTTCGTCATTTCATTAATCTCTGATATTATCCTTAAATCACAAGACTTCGAAAAGGCAATTAATGACATACTCATGCACTCTGCCCCAGGCCCGGACTCGTTGAACTCCTTGTTCGTCAAGAACTACAAGAAGCACCTGTCATGTGCCTTCAGCATTCAACGGAGAGGAAGCATTCCACAGTCACTAAAAACAACTTACATAGCCCCACTGCAGTAAAGCAATTGCAAAGAACTTCAGACAGATAGCACTAACATCCCATATCATAAAAATCTTTGAAAGAGTTCTAAGAAGCAAGATCGCCAACCCCTCAGATACCTATCAGTTACAAAATCCAGGGCAACAAGGGATTAGTGAAGGTCACTCCTACCTGTCCCAGGTACTGGACCACTATGACAACGTCCTGGATGCTTTAGACGATAAATAATATGCAGCAGTAGTATACACAGACTTTGCGAAAGCCTTTGTCAAGTGTGACCATGGTATAATACCACACAAAATACGTGACAAAGGAATAACAGCAAAAGTTCGAAGATGGATCTATAACTTATTAGCA